TTCTTGTTTATTTTATTGTTATTTTCTTTCTTTTCTTTTTTTTTTTTTTTTTGCAAATTATTTAACTATCCGTTATTTAATATGAGATATTACATTCTCCTTACCTTATGAAATTCGTCTACGAATTTAAACATGTAGATGAAATAAGCGGGGATACTTTGCTTGCATATTATTTTTCTACTTTCCAAGTAGCTTGTTCAACGGTATGATTTCTAGATTTTAACATACACAATTTCTTTTGACCATAGCTTTCTTACTTGTCTATCAAAAATAGTCATCGGCTCCTCCTCGTAATATAACTTCTCATCAAGCGGTATAGTCGGTGCTTCAAGCACTTGAGAGGAGTCTAATATACATTTTTTTAGCATAGAAACATGAAATACTGGATGAATAAAAGACATCTCAAGAGGAAGTACCAAACGATAAGCCATAACTCTCACTCGGTCTAGTATCCCATATGGTTCTATAAACCTAGGGCTCAACTTGCCTTCTTTTTCTTTTGAATCACATTACGGCTTTCACATGTAGGACTTGTCAGGACACTCTGCCCCCTGGACCTTGCCAATATTTTTTTGTACCAAGTCGAGTCCTAATAAGTTAGCCTTATCGGCTTCAAATCATCCAATAGGAGAATGACATTGTATACTATACAAGGCTCCATAAGGTGCCACCTCAATACTGGACTGACAGCTATCGTTATAGGCAAATTCAGCTAAATATACATATAAGCGTACAAACTACCTCCAAACTCAAAGTGCAAGCTCTCAACATATCTTTCAAAATTTCTATAGTACATTCAGACTACCCGTCTGCCTGTTAATGAAATGTGTTACTAAGATCTTCTAGTGTGCCCAATGTTTCTTGGATAGATTTTCAAAACCGTGCAGTAAATTATGATATTCTATTAGAAATGGTGGATAATAGACCCAAAGAGTTTGACAATTTTCTATTCATGTATATTTGTGCATATTTATCTTCGATATGAGAAGTTTTAACTAGCAAAAATGTACCTATTATGTAAGCTAATTAAACTGTACCTACTATGTAAGCTAATTTATAATTTTCTTCTAATTATGGTATATCTTATTGGTCCCCGAATATACAGTGTAGCTAGAGTTGTGAGCTCTTCAAGAATAACTTGTCTTAACCCATATATATCAGATATACATAACCCGCTACTTAGCCAAAGAATACTATCACTATCAATAGTCATATTCTTGCTTTTACTAGTTAAAGCCTCATCTTCATATTGAGTGGCCTTTATGCGCTTTACCAATGAAGACTTTACTTGAACTCAAGCCAACAACGACTCTGATTGTTTTTTTCCATACTAAATCTAACACCTATACCATTTAGTATGTACATACTCTAAACCAGAAGTCTCTTTATAGGAGTTATATGTGCCAAACTACCCCACAATATTTTTTTTAATTGCATTGGCCACAACAATGGACTTTTCAAGATACTATAGAGAAGTGTTGTCAAAGGCGCACTTAAGCCCTGAAGCGAGGCTCAAAACATATTGAACGCTTCGCCTCGCTTTGCGAGCGCTTCATTATCGCATCAAGGTTCTAAGGCATACTTTTCCTTGCCAATGTGTGTGATCCTGAAAAGGCGACACTAAGCAATTGATATTTCACTTTGTCGTAATTTTTTTCAGATTCTTTGTCCATATATTTGTTATTTATGCTTATAATTATTGGTCTTGGATTACATATACATATTTTTACTTTTTCTCTAGTTGCGCCTTTTTTCATTAAAGACAACGCTTTATTTCCGCGTTGCGCTTAAAGCCCCAATAGACCTTAGAGCTTTTTTGCGCTTTTCACTTTTGATAACACTGATATAGAGTAGTGCAATTATAGTCCTTAAATAGTTTTATCCATCTACATTACTGAATGTTTAGATATATCTGTTGGAAAATGTACTTTAGACGCTTGTAGTCTATATAAATCTCGCAAATTTTACAGTATAAGTAATACCTCTAAACCTTCAAAGCCAAAACCACTGCAACTAACTCTAAGTCATGAGTAGGATAGTGTAGGTCATCCTTCTTGAGTTGTCTCAAAGCATACGGTATAACACGATCATATGCATGAGGATACATCCTAATCCATCCTCAGAGCATCACAGAATATCGTGAGTCCTCCAAAACCTAATGGTAAGGGTAATACTAGTATAGTTGTTAAACATGTTTTGGGTTTCTAAAGCTCTGCTCACATTTCTCTATCCACCGGAACCTTATTTGTTTTTTTTTTGGGGGGGNTAGTAGTCTGCCAGGCCAAGTATTTGCAGATCACTATAGGAATAGTTGATCTTTGCTATTTCTGAATTGTTTCTATCTTCTTCGAATTTACCATAATCACATCCTTAGTTACAAAATTTCCGAACTGAGTCTATCCAGAATTTACGCTTCAAGAATATGGCAAAAAAAACTAATTTTTCTGGCAGCATCTATAACATATTTTTTTTAAGGTACTCGTGTTCTTCCTGACTACGAGAATATATCAAAATATCAAAAATAAAAACTATAATCCTTTTTTTTTAAATAACTCAAACACCACATTCATTATATCTATAAAAGCGGCCAGAGCACTGGCCAGTCCAAAAGGCAGTACAAGTAACTCATAATATCTGTGCTGAGTTCTCGAGGCTGATATCAAAATATTTTCCATTATTATTTTAAGCTGATAATAACTAGACTGGAGATCAATCTCTTAAAAGTGGGAGGTTCCTTGTAAATGATCAAACAAGTTATCTATATGAGATAATGGGTATGTATAATGTATCATTACCTTATTCAATTGTCTGCAGTCGATGTACATTCTTAGAGACCTATTTTCCCTTTTTTTCTTTCAAATAACATTGGTGCACCCGTTGGTGAAACATTTGGCATAATAAAACTCTTATCCAATAAGTCTTGCAATTGTTCATTTAGGTCTTTCAACTCTGTTGGTGCCATATGATATAGTTTGCATGTTATGTTTCAAATCAAAGGCGACGCTTATTTCTCTTATCGGAAGTAGTCCTAATAATCCTCATGAAAATTCTCGTACTATTGGTACCTTTTTCAAACTAAGTGTCTCATATCTTGTATTGACCATCGTTATGAGACTCATATCACCTTTGTTCAATAATCATTAAACATTACTAAGTGATATAACTTTACCCATTACTAGTAAAAGATCCATTTTAGTACAAAACTTATTTTATTGTGTATCTCAATCAATCTACCTTTACGTGGAAATCAAAGGTAGTATGGCAATTGGATAGATAATCCACACCCATCGGCACGTCACAGCATACCACATCAAGTACAAATTGGTTAGCTAGGATATTCATTCTCTTAACTCAAATGTAATAAGCTTTTATACACAGCTTAACTACTGTAGATTATTTTTTACAAAAATGGAAACCCCAGAAGGATCGTTCACTATTTTATAATATCCGTAATTTTTAGATCTTCGACCCATATTAAAATCCATACTGAAAGATTTCCTAATCTCGGTCCTCTTACGTGCACGGCTACCATATCCATATTTTTCAATCTTTCCGTTAAGTGTAACTGCCATAGAATAGATCAAAGTTTTCGTATGTGTAGTTACTACCTTGTTTAAATAGTTAACCAATATTTTGGCAAGCGTCTAAACTTAATATATTGCTTATCTATACAGTTGAGAAAGTTAGGTGATATATGTTGTTACACCCATCGTCTAAATTAATTCCTTAACCATCTTGCATGCAAGTTCATATTAGAAACTTGTCAAGAAGAAAGTGATTCATAAAGAATTTAGTGAAATGATTCGCAAATTATTTGTGTTGCTCTTGTTGGTATCCCTAAGAGTATGGTATCAGTTCATGTATTCGATATGATCTCTGGTCTATAAGTTGCTTGTTCCATAGACCACTCCATGAAATATCCTATAGCTCGTAATGTGGTAAATATTTTATCAAAAACCCTTAAGGATCGTATGAACTATCAGAAACATTATACTTGGCAGTTTCAACTTTAGAAACTTTATTAAGGATACTTTTATGTTCCCTACAATCTTCTACGTGCATAATGACTCTAGAGCACTATTGTGTTGCCCATTCTTCTCATCTCTATCTATTATTTCTATCGAGATCTCAATTTCTGTATGCATGGAGGTAAGTACCTTTGTGATGGCACTCTCCGATTGCTATAATGGTGAAACCGTACTAATTTCAGGAATGGACTCCATTACACATGTTAGCGGAAAGAAAGCTCCTCATTATGGCACAACGACCCTTCTTTGTCCTTGTCTACCATTTCTGTCGCTTTCTCTTGCGGGAGACAATTGCTTGTCTAGTATCATCATTTGATATCTTTGAACCTTTAGCCAAATGTTATTATTGGGTGAACCATACATGAACAAGATAACAGTGACACATGTAGTTATTTGACCTTAATCACTACATACGTTAGGAGGAATAAGAAAGAAAGACAAGACACATCCTATCACGTCCTCGCATAATCACAATAATGGGAATGGCCGGCTACATAACCATAATTGAGATTCTACTACTGACATGTACTTCATTAGTCGCAGGAATAACCTAAAGCTCTGATACCAACTTTGTCACGATCCAATTTAGGATCATGACCGGCGCTTGGGAGAAAGTGCCCCCAAGTAAGCATCATCGGTATTTTACAGAAAATCGGACAGAGTTTTTCCTATTTTAGGACTATCCAAAAGTTTTTCTGTCTGATAAACAATTAACAACCAACCAATTTTTACCCAAATCAGTCAAAATCTTCATCAACTAACCAAAATAAATTTTCACCAACATTACCATTACCAACATAATAATACTAAACCCATCTCAAAATATAGAGAGAAAGTGCAATACTAGTAACTAGTCCAATATAACGAATGAATTATCATGACACCAATAAGAATGACTATGGAGCGACTCTAAGAGTTCAAAAGAAAAGACAATAACAATAAATAAACTCTTCGCACGCGTGAACAAGTGCGGGGCTCACCAGGAACTAGCAAATTGTGTACTTTAATTAACGGAATCCTCGCTCGCGTCAACTATTGCCTCTATAAAAAAAATAGCGAGGAGTGAGTCGCTAGCTCAGTGAGTAATAACACTTAACCACAACCATTTTTAATTGGGGACAAGTCAGAAAAATGCCTATTAACCCGAAAATATCATAAAAATGCTCTTTCAGAAGCAGTAAACAATAATCTGTTTCATCATGTGTTTCATATAAATAAAAATCAATTAAAAATTTGGTAATAAACTCGATAAACACTGTCTCATAGCAAATCTTTATGTTTGGAAGGTTTCCAAGAAAGGATCATGTAATATGTATCACTATGTGGATCCCTTCGTAAAAGGAGTCAAATATAACTTGTAGGTCCCTACCCGCGGGAAAACTGTAACGATATACTAGTTCTACCTTTTCACTAGCGAGGGCTACAACTATAATCGATAATCTGTAAATACAAGGTGTACCAGGTCTAACGAACCCGCCGTTAGCTACGGGATCCTTCAAAGTTTTCTCCCATTTATACTTTTCTTTGTAAACAAAACATATTCATATGAAAGCATTTTCAAAATAGTATAGGGTATTTCAGTTCTTATCAAATCATGTAATCACATTTCGGTAACAGTAATCATATCTCAAGTAACAGTAAAACATGTCTGGTAACATTGAGAATATTTTAAATAACTGTAAACATCTCGAGTAAATTGTTCAGTACCATATCAAGTAAAGGACTTATCCCACATGTAATTTCAAACATTTGGTGACGTACTATTTTAAAAATCATATGTAAACCATGCAGGTTATAAAACACAAGTTGTGGTAAGATTACTACTCACAGTACTCGTGCCGAAATACCAAACTCGTTACCTCGGGCAATCCGTACAGCTTCCTTCAATCAATCTATGATCACATCAAATTGATCTCGTGTTAATTTCCTTGTTCGGTTTAATTCATAACTAAATTTGAATACCCACCCCTCGGGAACACATGTTTAGTTCTCAATTCGTCAAATTTTTTATCTACCCATACTACACTTAACTTAAGCGAGTCCATAATCTTCGAAACAAAGGTCATTCATATAGTCTATTCATTGTATTATTTGGTCTCCTTAATCATATGAATACTACAAAAATCAAATAATATTATTGTCCATGATATTCTTCTTAATTGTTATTTAAATCTTCTTTTTTTTTTTGTATTCAATGAAAGCATACACTATAGAAAATATCTCAAGCAAGTTTCAAAGAAGGAGAAATAGAATTTTTAGTTCTAAGCGGTGGAGTATTTTCACTAGAGCAACTACAAACTTCACCGAACCAGGTTGACAAAGCTTTAGAGATCAAAGCCTTTTATTTTCTCAATTTTTTTCTTTCATTGGTGAAGCTTTAGGTTTCTTTTGTTTCTCCAATCCAACCTTTTCTTTCTTTAGGGATTTTAGTTATCTTCTGATTCTACAGAAGTTTAAATGTGGCGCTTCTCTCTTTCCCAATTCCCTTAACTTTATCTTTTAAACTCTTAATCCAATCCCAATATCTTCTCTACTCAGTCCCATAAGGAATCAAGAATATAAAATAATATTATATCAAAAGAAGAAGAATTATATGTAATTACCTGGAGTTTATTGGTGACGCTCAAGAATATATGCTGATGACGAAGTGAAACACGGTATTCGGCGCTAAGAAACAGTATAATCGTTTTCTTTCTTTTCCCCCGTTTGACATGTGGTTGGCTAAAGGAATTTTTGTTTCAAACCCTTTTCTAGCTTCGTCATTTTGAAGCAGATGGGCTAAAGCCCACTTAATTGCCTTCCTTCTTTATTTTATTGTTATTTTCTTTCTTTCTGTTTTTTTTTTGTTTTTGTTTTGTTTGTCTTGTATTATTATTATTATTATTATTTTTGCAAATTATTTAACTATCCGTTATTTAATATGAGATAATACAGCTCCCGCCCTCCAAATAAATGAATAAAATAAGAAGGCAATGTGCTTTCTCTAAAGAAAACTATGCATAAAAGGTGAGATTCCTTTTGAGTGTACATACTGTCATTAAACTTTATGGTTGGTTGAAATATTAATTTAATCCAATGAAGAAACTCCAAAATGATTAGAATGTTCTAAAGTGAGATCCTTAACTGATTATGCTTAAATAATACTATGCCATTTAAATATTAAGTTGACTGTTCTATGTGAAAGAAAGATTCAAAGTTTACAATAACTAGTGAAGTCACCTCACTAGGTTTTATCCATAGCTTCAGGCTCACATACTTGTTTTTTTCTGTTAAATAGGAGTACTAAATTTATTCTTGACAGAAAGAAAGCACAATTACCTACAACATTGTACTAAAACCAAAATTTTATAATTTTTTGACATAAAGATCAGCACATCTGACCTTTTCTCCTCAAAATGTATGGGCCAACATAAAATTTAGAATAATCTTCTGTTGAGCTGTCTGCATTTTGATAAAGTTTGATGTGTAAGCCAAGAATTTCCTAGATGATTATAGCATTTGATGATAATCCTCAAGACAAGTCAACAGAATCCCTAAGGTTACCTTTAAAGACATTTGAAATTGCTGTTTCTGATGTAAAGAGGTATATATTTTTTTTTTTGGGCTGCTGATGACCTCAAGATTAAGTTAAATTACAGTTTTAGAAGAAAGAAAGTTTTTTTTTTCATTCAAACATTTTGCAAAGTCCAGTCTCAAATTAAACCATACCTAATGATAAATTCACATCATATGGATATGGATGGATTGAATTTTTTAAGAAAATTGGATTAGGATATGGATCACAGCTCATAGATTAAGTTTGTTTTCATGGGATGGAATTCATACCACTATCAAAGTTTCCATTATTTGCCGCATTTTAAAGTTAAGTCATACCACTAAATAAATCTTAAAAATTTAACAAAAATAAACCTATAGACGCCTGATGATGGTTAATATTATCAGTTTTAGCTCTTCTATATAAACAAGTAATCATTAGATCAATTCAACATTTAAAGGTTCTTTTTATCTTGTAATGCTTATCAACTACTTTCAATCGGTAAAGCCAAACGGACTACCAGGTTATTAACTATGAATTATATGAACTTGATGCTAATAATCAAAGCATCAAGAAATTTTCATTTCTTTGGCTAGTAATGACTCATGAGTCATAGTTTATTATTGCTACACACAAAAAACAATGGAGTCAACCTATAGGCTAGATATCACAAATGTGATGAAGTGGGAAAGGAGGATCAAAATAAGAACCATTGAGAATGGCATATATAGTGAGTTCGTTTGCTACATCTGTAGTATGTATTCCATCCCAGCTTACATAATTTTGTGGATCTTCACAGGCATTGGCTGTCACTTTAGTTCCATTTATTTGTTTGGTATTTCCACAGAATAGTTGCTGGTTAAAATTGTAGGCACCACCTCCATATCCACAACATGCTTTGGTTCCATATTTTAGCCCTGCAAAAACAAAAAAATTATCACAAAATATATGGCCTTTCAAGAGCACATCATGTACTATTCAGCATCTTAAAAAAGAAAACAAATACCATGAGAAGTAGGGTGTTGGAAGAGGTCCAAGAGCACAGTATTAGTGTCCACATATACCACATCTGCATCAGCAATTTCTTCTCTTGTTTTTGCCAATGCTGCTTTGAGCATATTGTTATAATCCATCACTGCATTATTGTATGATATTAGACAACCAAACTGGTCAATATCCGAAGAGTTATGAGGCAGCTCCACCAAAAATGCAGGGTAACATCCAATTGGTGCTAAATTTAGCACCCAAAATGTCCTCCCACCTAATGCATATATCTCCTGGCATATAAAACAGAATTAACATCAGATAAGCGTTCGGTTAGCTTGAGCACGGACTCATAATCAGATGTTTCCTAAACAACTATCTTCTTTTCTTGAATGTCCTTTCTCTCCGTTCAATGCTTGTTTTTACATATATACATATGCTCTATCAAATAGCTAGCCAAAACTTTTTTTATAAGATCGTCATACACTTTAACATGATATTAGAGCACACAAAGGTCTTGATTCAAAGCTCACAGTCATTTATTTATCAAGCTTGATCTAGGAAAAGAGAGCTAGACCACACATCAGAAGCATATTAATAATTTCAGTTTTTAAATAAGATGATCACACACTGTATTTCATATCTACATGCATTTTCACTTTACGCTCACTGGACTCACATTGGTTTACAAAAAGAAATTATAAAATAATAAGAGAAAGAAAAGACGAGTGACTAATTATTCATTGAATGCTAGCTAGGAAATTAAAGGTCAAAGATCTTACCTTGATGGTGCTAACAATTTGAGAAATCAGTTGAGGTAGAAACTCTTTCACTCCAATTATTCCTATTCTTGCCAGATTTCCAGTGAAGTCATTTTGACCAATGTAGAATGTATAGAGCGACTTTCCAAATAAGTCCGGGGAAGGCAGATTAGTTTGCCCTGAAAAATTCGGACATATTCGGTTATGGTTAACAATAAAAAGTAATATTCCTCGAAAAATTTGTAGAATGGAACACTAATGGTATACCTTTATGCTGAAGTTCATCGACTTTAACCTTAAATTCTTTCATTTGTCGAAGCTGAATCTGAAGAGAAAAAGGGCTAACTCCAGTAACAAATAAAGAAGTTTGTGGCAAGCGCACTGTGGATGCCGCTGTTGCAAAATTTGCACCATGCTTGTAATCAGATCCAATTGATTGCAGATATGGACTCAAAAATGGCAAACCGAACGCTTGAGCTGCACACGAGGAACGCCAAGACTTTCAAAAAAACTGTTAGGAGAGGCAGGATGAAGGACATTTTTTTTTTTTTGGTTGAATTACGTGATCATCTTATCTAAAAGCAGAGTCGAATGTAGCGTACTGAAATCAGGTTCAACTAAACCCAGTACGTTTGATGTAGAACATAAATTTATGTGTAAAAATTCATTAAAAGTAACTCATAACTTTAAAGATACAATAGGTTCACATTACTAATCTTAAAGATTGAACCCATAGCTTAAATATTGAATTCACCGAACATCATTAGTCTTATGGTATGGTGGCAAGACACTCAATAAAAGGGCTAATAATGTAAATCGAAATTAAGCGCACATATGAAGCGGTCACAGGTGCAATGGTTAGGATAAGGATCTAGGACAGAACCTATATATTATGGACAAACAACAACTTCCAGTGATAATCAGAACATGCATGGACCAATTTTGCTGCTTTTTCCAGCAAAGGCTACTTCATTTTGTTGTAAATACAAACTACTGTAATCTAAGTCCGAAAGCTTACAGGTCAAAGATATGACACTTACAGAGTAAACTTCTTCTCGTTTATATTATCTGCTCTTTTAAGATATTTAATAGTCTAAATCATAAGACTATTTCTAAAAACTATCCTTCATTATCTCTCCGTTAAACGTCTTACCTAACAAATTCAATTGAAACAGTAAGAGTTGATCTACAATTACATAATACTCTTCATAGCAAGTCTAATATGCTAATCTAAAATAAATAAAAAAAATAGATCGGTCAAATTAAACTTAAGGAATTTGATCGGAGAAGAATCATATATACGACCTAGAAAATCAAGGATGACTCTGCCATCAGTTGCCCGTCCAACTGGTTTCTTGAAGTAGGTCATTCCATGGGGAGGACCCTGAGCTGGGAAAGCTGCCCAAAAACCACCTGTATCTGTATTTGAATCTCCAAAGTTAAAGATTGCCTTAAATCCACAGTTTTTGCACTCTGTTGTATCCACCATAAATAAGATTGCTGCCAAGAAAACCCAAGTAATCACCATAGAATAAAACCATAAACTCATTCTTATTAATGGCTTCATGTTTTCTCTGTGTTTCTCTCAAACAAGAAGTAACTTTGGATAGAATGGAGCTTATTGTGCGATTCGCTGAAAGCACTGTTCTTTCCATATTTGTAGGCAGAGAAGCTGTGCACGTGGACAACTACTGGTCAAGTTTATGTCAAAACAAACATTGTTTGGTAATGTTTTCCAGTCATTAACGTGGACTTTAATTTGTTTTTCACTTTCTTTTTTCGCTTTTTCTGAATTATTTTATCAAATGGGACATAGAAATTTTACTTATCAAGAAAATATGTAAAATTTTCAAATTATTTGCATAATGAAGTGGGAAAAAAAGTTGGTACACAATCTTGAAATTTTTATCATGTAATCCCGACATTTAAAAAAGAATAACAGGTTTTGAAATATAATGGTCAAACTATCATATTCTCAGTTAATTCTGTTAAATATAAGTTTCAATGATGAAAAATAACATATTACTATTGATGCAGGATCACAAGGGATAAAACAAAGGACTCAAGAAGCTCTATCATCAAGTATGGAAGAAGTAAAAGAAATAAGGAAAATATGTGTCAAAGCAAGTAAGAAAGGAGAATCATGGAAACTTCAACTTTTTCTTGGAAAGAATCATTTTACGATTCCTTTCAAGGATCAACTCCCTTGGGTCTGTAATCTCTTAAAATTCACGTCAATCAAGAGTCAAGAAGGCCTCACGAAGTATATATACATCTGTACCAGACTTGAAGCAGATGTACTTTGAACAAACCACTATTACTCTTTTTGTTCTACTCCAAACAAGCATTGTAGTTCTCTTTAGATCTGTTGTGTAATTAGTGAGAGAAGAAAAAGAGATAAACACTGGTGAGACATTGTATCAAGAAGAGAGAATTGACATAGTGACTAAGCTGTTGGTGTAAAGCTACATCTACTCTCTTGTAATCAAAAAACTTCAAATACTGAAAGAGAGCACCATTGCAACCCAAGGGGA